TCTTTCTCTGCTTTGGGGATCAAGGTGATGCTTGCTTCCAGGAATGAATTTGGGAGTATTGCTTCCCTTTCAATTTCATTGAAGAGTTTAAACAGTAGTGGGCATAATTCCTCTCTCAATGCCTTGTAAAATACAGCCGTGAAGCCATCAGGACCCAGGCTTTTCTTAGTTCATAAGTTTTCAATTTCATTGATTGATATTGGGTCGTTTAGAATTTTTAGGTCTTCTTCATTCAACTTTGGTAATTCACATGTATCTAGGAATCCATTTCTTCTGTGTTTTCCATCTTATTGGCATATAGGTTCTTGAAGTAGGTATTGATGATACTCTGGATTTCTGCTGGTCCCATTGTAATTTTTTCCTTTTCATTCCTAATTGCACGGATTTGGGCCTTTTCTTTCCTTTTTCTGATAAAGTTGACTAAGGGGTTGTCAATTTTGTTTATTCTTTCAAAGAACCAACTCTTGATTTCATTGATTTTAAGTATTGTTCTCTTGGTCTCCATTGAATTGATTTCTGCTCTGATCTTTATAATTTCCTCCCTTCTATGGGCTTTGGGTTTGCCTGCTCTTCTTTGTCTAGAAGCTTGAGGTTCAGTACCAAGTTGTGTAATTGAGCTTGCTCTGTTTTCCTAATGTGAGTGTTCACTGCTATGAATTTCCCTCATATGTCTGCTTTCATTGTGTCTCATGGATTCTGATATGTTATATTAGCATTATCATTTAGTTGCAGGAAATGTCAGATATCTTCTTAAATTTCCTCTGTGACCCATTGGTTTTTAAGAAGTGTGTTGTGCAGTTTCCATGTGTTTATGAAATTCTTCCTGTTTCTTTTGCTAATGATCTCCAATTTCATCACCCTATGGTCTGACAATATACAGGGGATAACTTCATTTCCTTTGCACTTACTTAAACATGTTCTAGGAGCAAGTATGTGGTCTCTTTTACAATATGACCCATGTGCAGCTGAAAAGAATGTTTACTCTGAGTTCGTGGGGTGGAACACTCTGTAAACATCTGTTAAGTTCATTTGTTCAAGAGTTTGAGTTCCAGTATTTTGTTGTTTATTTTTTGTCTGGTTGATCTATCTATTTGTGACAGTGGGTTATTGAGGTCCCTCACTACTAT